ACTCGATGATCTATTGAGGTCCCTTCTGACCCTAACATCTATGAATCTATGAAGCACTTCTGGATGCAGGAATTTTTCTGAAGTGGCCATACAGGATCTGCTGCACAGCTCCTTCTGGCTCACAGTACCCTCTATAGCTATTTAGTCAGGGAGTATGCATAAAATGGGAAAACGGTGGTCACGCTGGGCCTGACCTAAAGACCACTGAAGTCAATGAGGGTATTTGCATTACTTAAATGGTCTTTAATTTACAAGCCTGGCCTTGTAGTTGTTTCATTTAGGGCCTTGTTACACAGTAATTCTGGGTAGCTCTTGGAGCTATTAATCCCTGGATTGTCTCCAGATTAACACTTTAAAGTGGTTTTAAAAACCCTTTAAGCAGCTCAAAATTACACCACTCCAGGCAGGATTATTTCTGATCTGCACTACCCAGCTCCTGTTCCATTAAGATGGAGCCACTCCTCACAGATGTGCCACTCAAGTTGAAGTCCTCCAGTATCACAGGACCGCTCACACCCCCACCCACAGAGCAGGGAAAGAAGCCTATCCTGCCTCACCAGCTCTCTAGTGGAAACTCATAGCTACAGCTCCTAGTCCTAACCCTGCTCACCAGGCCTCTAGTGGCAAGACACAGCTTTGCAAGGACAGTCAGAGAAGGCTTCTAGACTAAGGGTGTATGTAACTGCTCCAAATTCCAAGCTAGCACTAACACCGATCAATATTTGTGCATCTCAGCATAATGTGTAACAAGGTCCTCATAGTGCTCAGGAATTATCAGGACCTTCCTTAGAGGCACATGAGGCTCAATCACAACCTTGTCAGAGCTCAACTTACACTTTATCTGTGCCGTAGCTCCTGTAGTCGACTGCTGCTGACACCGCCACTATCAATGCAGGCATCCCGTAGCCAACCAGGTAGAAATACTTTCTCCGTGAATGTTCACTCTCAAACACCTCTACCAGCATGATGTACAGCTGCACGCCCTCCAAGAACATCCAGGTGAATGCCGCCAGGAAGAAGAAGTGCAGGAGGGCAGCAAACACAGCACAGGCAATCTGGGAGATTCAATATAGCAAAGGAAGGGGTTGATTCCAAGCCAAAAATAAACAACAGTTAAAAAACCCACCACACTTATTGCAATCATGATGTTCATTTTAGAACCACTTTCTGTGTGTCTTGAGTGGAAATCAGTTTATAAAAACCACAGAATAGGAGCCATAGAATAGGAAAAGGGATGCGAGAACACAGAATTCCAGTGCACAACCTTTATTTCAAGGACATCTGAAATCAAACCAGCCCTGAGAAAATACAGTGCAGGGTCTTGGTGTGCATGGACAAGTGAAAAGACATCCCCCACAGTGGTTTTTGCAATCTTCAGCTTCCATGAGGACTTGATGCTCAAGGGTTCTAGCAAAGGATTCCTGTAACATTTTGGCAGGTCATGTGCTAGATGTAGCCCAGATTCCTGCACTGCCACAGTATGCCCAAAAATGTGCACAAAAGACAAGTAGTTGTGTTTCCAGAGAGAAAGGAGCTGGTTGAAAGTGTCTGTAACAAGGAGAACATGTTAGCCATAACTGGATGTTATGAAGGAGTTCCCATAGGTGAAAGAAAATCCTTTTGTCTTTGCAACATGGAGCACATGCTGTAGCTTCTTGAGGAAAATGATGAATGCAAGTTTGATGAGGGGTAATTCTACACACACATGCACCAGACTGGGATACCTCTAAGAACAATCACCACATTTAAAAAATACATTTGAAATTACCAAGGATGTGTGGCTTTTCTTTCTCTAAATAGAGTCAGGATGAGCAAAAGCAAACTCCTTCACTAGAGGCCTAGGCATATGACTTATAGTCCAAGTTTTCCAAGGAGCCTTAAGATTATGGACAGTGAAATTCAATGGGAATGGTGTACACCTTATTCCATTACACATTTTGATAAATTGTAGCCTAAAGGCTTTGAGGTCGCTGGGTATTTTGCTCCAGCTTATCGTAAGTGCAAGATCAATGCCTTTTTATATCTTAATGGATGGTTTGGGAGAAGTGATGTGAAAGTCTGTTTTCCATTATCCACATGACCACCAGAGCATTAGAATTTGAAATGCTTTGTCTGTAAGTGAGTCCTGGTTTGCAAGTGGCTCTGGGATCTTCTCCTGTCCCAAGTAGCTTTTCTGCACCTTGCATTTGGTAATTTTTGGCTAACACGGGTAAACGGCAGTGAGATAGCTTCTGCCCCATCGGAGGCAGGGCCGGGGCAAAAACCGAAAGCCAGAGCTCCATCCCCACACCAGAGTAGCATTCATTAAGTTAAGCCACAGTTTCCTTGGTCCCTCATAACTTTTTACCTCTCACTTGTCCAGTGGACAGCTTCAAGAAGAGGATGCTCCGAGCAATCCCTAGCCCAGAGTTGTCCAATTGGCGACCTGTGGTATGTAGTCTTTAGGTCACAGGCAGCTTGCAACTGAGTGGGTTAACTTTTAGCTCATGGACCTCTGCAGCCACCTGTCCCACTACCCATGTGCAGTATGCAATGGGGGTGGGGATCCCGTATGGCCCACATGGTGCATGGCCTGAGGTAATCCAGTAAGATGCAGCACAGTGACCATGCCAAGTCTGTTCATTTCAAAATGTAGAAACCCTATTCTTCATTAACCAAATTCCTTTATATATATCAAAGCCACTACTTCTCACTGAGAACTCAATCCTTGATGAGTCTGAAGGCTTTTTCTTTAAAAAACACAAACCCTAAAACACCAACCCCTCAAAAGAACTGTATATACCATATGCAAATGCAAAATGGGGCTTAAATGTTTTAGGAAAAACAACTTTTTGTTTGTTATTGTTTTGTTCAAGTTGAGCTTTCCCTGAAAACTTCCAGATGCAAATTAATTCAATATCCAGAAATATTTGTCTCTGGACTGAGGTCAAAGGGCACACAATTTCAGCCCTTAATGGGCAATTATTCAGAAAGTTATAGAAGCCTCGAACTGTCTGAAGCCAGTGTAAGGATTACAGTGGACTTTGGCTGATGTCCTCAAAGAAGGACCTATAACAGAAAAAATCTGAAGAATTACTCTACTACTGTTAGTGCAATACAATGCAGGAAAAACATGAAACTACACACACTTTTTGCATGCAAACTTCACACAAATATCCAAGGTGCAAATCTAGCTTAATTGACATGGCTGGGAGTTTTGCCCTTGACTTCACTGGAATCAAGATTGCATCCTGATTATGAACCAGAGCCCTGATCCTGCTGAGATGTACAAAGGCCCAGAAGAGCAAAGATACATATCTCACTGCAGGACTATGCCATAGACATTCTCTGACAAAACAGGAGGGTAAAGATGTTTATGCTGAGTTTCTTACTGGCTGATCTGTCCGGTTGATACCAATGAGGAAAAGTAGCTCTGCCACAAAGAGGCTGATGCACAAGTTCTTGTGAATAGTGTTCCTGTCGCTCTGGAGTCCACGGAAAAAGCAGAAAGTAAAGATGCAAATCAGGAGGCAGACGAGTGACAGCAGAATGCCAACCCACGTGATCACGTCCAAGAGAAGGTCGTGGACTGCATCACTGTGCTGGAGACATAACAGAAAAATAATCAGTCACAGGCCAAGTGTCAGATAATTCATACTGGAGGGGGAAAAAAACAAAACAAGGTATCTGTGTCCCACTGATAGACTTCTGTATCCCCTCACCACACTGTAGCACAAGGGACAGGTACCTATTGCAGGACTAAAATAGTCAAGAACACCATTTCCAGATCAATGTCTGCAACCTCAAAGTTACATTCTTCCCTCTCCCTTTCTGTTTTGTTTGCAAATACAGCAGTAGGACAGTGGTTCGGCAGATCATGACTGTGAGGGCACAAGTGCCCTTAACAGATTCATATTGCAGGCCGGAGTCACTGGTAGATTTAGGATGATGGATTTAGTCTTATGTCCAGCATGGGGCAAAAACAAGAACTGCATCCTTCTTGCATCTTTGTGCCAGAAGGGTCTAAAAAGCAAAGAAGCCCCATTTAATTGCACCTAGGTACAATAGCTCTAAGCTGGATTGTCTTTCATGATAATAAAAGTAATCATAATTATCACTAACAAAATTAAAATGGTGCATCTTTTTAACATGTACAGAAAGAAATAATTTTTGTGTTTTCAGATATAAAAAAACTGTTTCAATGTCTCCCCCATTTGTTCACAAATAAAGGAAAATAATAACATTGATTTTTCAAACCCTGAAGCTGTATTTATGTATTTAAAAGAAATCTGGAAACTCAGACTGGATAGCAGAACAATATCCAGGAAGATTTTAACAGAGTTTATAAGATGTACGTTCCCCTTTATAAGCCATGTTAAAGCAATCTAGATCCCACCTATGCCAAAGCAATGCTGTCTTGGTCACAGCTTGGATACTGTCCCTCTAGGCAGCCATGTGCTCTGAGAACACCGGGACCCAATGATTAGTTTAAAGATTGGGGTAGGAACCCCAAGGAACTAAATCAGGATGCCGAACTCAGCATGTTTCTCAATGTTTGCCTGGATTCACTCCTGAAATCTAGCTAAAGGCACTTGGAACTCTCATCTTGGAAGAAAAACACACAGCATCCAGTGGCAAGATTATTACAACTGTGAAACACATCCATATTGCCACACAGATTTACGCTACATGTGGTAGGCATGGTCAGATGTGCTTTCTTCCCCCACAGGGCTAATATCTAAACATGCACTAACTAACACATGGCAAGTCACAGGCCAACTAGTTAGATCTAAGTAGGTTGATGGCAACGTGTCAAGAGGAGGAGAGAGGGGCTTGGAAGGGAGAAAGGTCATTTGGAGAGGAGAGCAGAGGCAGTGCTCCATTCATGGGGATGGGAGGTACAAAGAGGAAGCTGAAGATAAGGATATCTAGGGCAGACCCAACAAAATTTTATTGGCTTCAGGGGAAGAGGTACTCAACCCCCACTCTTGATCCTGGGACTGCTGACAATAAAGTATCACCCAATACCATCCTCTCAGGTGCACCAAGTTCTCATCATTAAGCAGATCAAATGGCTAGGGAGCATCCCTGTCAAGGTACATTCCCTCTGTGCTGCCCCCAAGCCACCTAGTCTGCTGAGTTGCCAGTCTATGGTGAACCCAGCAAAAGTGGGTTCACCATAGACTGGCAACTCAGCAGACTAGGTGGGGACTTATTTTGTTAGTGGCAGTCCAGGGTCAAGAGGGAGGCCATGCAAACATGCCTAAGTGGCCCAAAGGAAGAAGTGAGGAAAGCCGGTTTTGAACAGTTAGAGTGAGGAGTTGGGACAGAGGGAGGTGGGTCCAGCATTACAGATTGCTTTGTAGGTAAGAGAGAGGGTGCAGTAGATGACAGGAAAAGTAGAGAAGGATGAAAAGGGGTGGTGTGACATGGCTGAGACTAAAGGACAGGACAATGACTTCTGCAGGGGCATTTTGGGCAAGATGAAAAAGGACAAGGAAGACAACTGAAGGCCAGATTATAGAAAACAAAAGAAGAGGCCTCCCATTTGCTTCTTTGGCAATTTTTTTCCTTTAATCATTAATGAAAGCCACATTTAGCTGGAAAAAGGCTTGAATTCTATGCCAGCTTGAAAGGAAAGTGCTGTGACAGTGGTGCTACCATCATGTTCTTGCTGTTTTCCCTCATAAACACAGGGGATATGGTTTAAAAGGCAGCAGGACCATGAACCCCAGTGCCCTAATCTACGCAGCTGTGGGACTCCAGGCACAGCAGCAGCAGACTTCAAAAATCCAGTAGATAGAAGCATTCTCCTTACCAGGAAATGCCTGTGGCAGACTTAGGGGAAAGGTGATTAATTTATCCATTTTGTTGCCTGCCTGACAATGATAAAACCACATCAGTGTCAAGCACTTACTGATATACTCCTGCTTTGTCAGCACCCATCAAAAACAACTCGAACCCTTTCAGCACATTGGCTTTATCAGCACGATTGATAGGCATCAAATGATAATGAAAGCTAGTGAGCGGCTTCCCCTGCCTCCACACCCCAGGAGCTGTCTATAAAGGGCAAGCTCTGGGAGCAGACAGAAAAAATGGTGGGTTTATTGCCAAAATAATCTTGACAATTTTCCCTGGAATATGGAAAGTGTGTGTGTGTGGCACAGGATCCAGGAACTGACACACACCCATTGTAACAGTGACAAAAATGGCCATGCTATCCACCTCCTGCAATCACATGTGGAAAACCCAGGGGAAAAACGGTGCATGCTCTTTTTCCTGATGGCATCTTTGTTCTTTGAGCTGTTTACAGTTTCATATTCATCACTTTACTCTTAATGCAACTCCAAAAAATTGAATACAAATCCCAATCCTTGTTTGGTTTTTTTTTATGTTCCACATGAGGTTGACAGAAAGAAGCAGATAAGATCTCCGAAATGACCCAGCCACAAATGGTGCGCTGGTTCACCTGATTACATGGCACTGCTAGGCAGAGTGTCAGAGCCCCACGATGTAGAAATGTAACTCTACAGCTGGCACAGGCAGATAAAGGGGACAGACAGATGAACTTGGGAAAGCTTGTGCCCAAGATTAACAGCACAAATTCACCAGGTTTCATGACTAAGTCAGCCTTGTACATAACCAACTTTCAGAGGTTCTTCCTAGTCTGATAATGTGGTCTACTGGCTTCATCTGGAATGCACACAATACAAGGTTTATCCCATTTACATGCCCAGCTCTACATATACCAGGTTTAGAATGAACAAAAACCGCAGAGCTCCATCGTCACTCCTCAGCTGTTTCCACTTATTTACTCCTCTGAACACAGACTAGGAGAGGGTGCTAAATGCTGCTGAACAGCATCATAGAGCAGATTCTGCACCGCTGCACTGTAGGGAGGAGGAGGCAGAAAGGACCTGCCAGCTTCCCCTTCTCTTAGGATCAAAAAGTGAGAGAGGAGGAACCAGAAGGGCTTTCACCAGGACTGTGTGCATTGGGGGAGTGAGTTAGTTTGCTGGTCCCTGCAGAGACAAAAGGGATGGCTATCCTGACTTCTGGGTCATGCAGTGAATGAACTGAGCGGATGGTGGGTTGTCTGGGGTAGGTGTCATAGGAAATATGTCATCATACCTTGCCCTAAAGTGTCAGGTCCAGAAGAAAGGCAAGAAGTTCCATGTATCAAGCAACTTGTAGACTCTTACCTGAGGCTGTTACTTATTAAGAGAAAGTATCTTATCCCAACCTTTTCCTTCCCCACCACTGGACATTTTGGTGTGGGACTGACTGTGGGAGCTTCTCCTACTGATACACCTGCATTTCACTTGCCAAGACTGTTATAAGAGTAACAGTTTTACTTAGCTTCTGCATTAGAAATCACTCAGATGCCACACAACCACTCGAAAGCAGCTTCTCAGCAATAGGAGACACTCCACTATCACAACAAGATTACAAAAAGATGGTTACGAATGAACAAAAATCCAATAATTTAAAAACACTTCTAGGAAAAAATGTAGGCTTTTAGGTATTTTGCAAATGTAGAAGAGAGGTGAGACATACCACTTAAGGCTGAGTTCCACACCATGTGGCTCAGCAGATCAGAAGTGCAAGCACCTACTGACTTCAGGCATGATGACAAAACCCCTGAACACCAAGTGACACACGAATACAAACATCCACCAAATGGAAATCTCCTGCATAACCTGGGCCAGTAGCATTCAGAGCTTTACAGATCAATAAGGCTGACTGAAATAAATGAGTAGCCAACCACATAGCCAATGATGCTACCGCATTCTGAACAAGTTGTAAACAGTGGATCAGCCTTGCTAATCACCCAGAGAAAAGGAAATTACAAAAATCAATCTTCAAGGTCACAAGGGTAGGCAGCCAAGTCACCACATGATAAATAAGGGCATACCTAAAGACTAATAAAGACTTGTGTTTGACCCTGATCCACAGTGGAAATACTCTCTTGGGCTCTGGTATGTTTTGGATCAGTCGCTAAGGCCGCTTATACACGTGATGGGGGTTTTATTCAGTTTAATTCTCCCTAAATTGAAATGGTGGGTTTTTAAAAACACCACTTCAATTTAGGGAGAATTAAACCGAGTCAACCCCCTGTGGTGTGCACACAAGGGTGGGGGCCCAATCCTTACCTGCCTCTTCAGCACCGGGGGGCGGGGGGGCGGTGCCAGCGGGGCCAAGTCAATTTAGGGAGAATTAAACCGAGTCAACCCCCTGTGGTGTGCACACAAGGGTGGGGGCCCAATCCTTACCTGCCTCTTCAGCACCGGGGGGCGGGGGCGAGCTGCCAGCGGGGCCAAGAGTTCCCTGAGCTGCTATGGGGCCTCCACACAGCACCCGCCAGTTGACACTTGGCCTGAGCGGTCCCAGGGGGCACCTCAGCTGCAAGGGAAAGCATTGCCTACGCCACCCCCTCCCCCCAGCAGCTGCGGAGGGAAGCCCTGGGCCCCCACACAGCTAAGGCAGGCTTTGGGGAGGGGGGAAAAAAAAGATAAGGCTTGCAGCTTTTTTTTTTTTTTTCTTCAGTGGAGCCTGCCTGCATGGCTGCTGCCAGGTCCCACAGCCCCTAAGCAGGATGGGG